AAAAGAAAAAGATCGAGAGAATCAGAGTACACAGAATAAAAAGCACCCGAATAAAAATGCGAAAGAAAAATACGTTTTCAAAGCGATAATTAGAAAAACAACGAAGACGAAAAACAAAAACAAAACCAAAACAAAAAAAAAAAACACGATAGAATCAGAGTACATAGCAGTAAAGAGAAGCAGGGGGTTCAACAGCTCACTAAATGTTTGTCTTACTGTGCGAGTGGGTTTAAGCAGACCGCCAGGCTATTTCGAAGGTCAGTGACTCTCGATTCGTGTATGTTTTCGTTGCTATCTCGAACTCGTCTCGTATTCACTCTCTGTAGCTTTCCTTATCGTGAGTTCGGGTTACTCAGACGAGAGGGAAAAAAGGGGTATAACTCGCATAAGAAAGGGGTCATCTAAAAAAGAAAGAAAAGGTCATAGCTGCGAGAAAGAAGGGTATGGTTCACTTGAATAAAAAAGTTGGGTATGGGGGAAAAAGCAAGAAAAGGTCATAGTTGCGAGAAAGAAGGTTCACTTGAATAAAAAAGGTATGGGAAAAAAAGGGTATGGTTCATTGAATAAAAAATATGGGGAAAAAAGCAAAAAAAAAAGGTCACACTTGCGAGAAACAATAAACTAGAATAAAAAGAATAAAATAAACTAGAATAAAAAGTTAGGTATGGGGAAAAAAAAAGCCAAAAAAGTCACACTTGCGAGAAACAATAAACTAGAATAAAAAGAATAAAATAAACTAGAATAAAAAGTTAGGTATAGGGAAAAAAACAAAAAAGGTCATAGTGGCGAGAAACAATAAATTAGAATAAAAAGATTAAAATAAACTAGAATAAAAAGTTAGGTATGGGGAAAAAAAGCAAAAAAAGGTCACACATGCGAGAAACAATAAACTAGAATAAAAAGAATAAAATAAACTAGAATAAAAAGTTAGGTATGCGGAAAAAAAGCAAAAAAAGGTCGTAGTTGCGAGAAACGAGGGTATGATTCACTAGAATAAAAAGTCAGGTATGCGAAAAAGGGTTTTATTTGCAAAAAAAAAAAAAAAAAAAAGATAGTTGCGAGAGTAATAAAAAAAACTAGCAAGAACTTACTCGTAAAAAGCTGATTTGCAGAAAAGGGTCTGACTCATAAGAAATTGCGAAAAAAGGGTCTCAACTTGCATAAAAAGGTCACAATTACGTCACAAATAGAAAGAATTTCACTCATGCGAAATAAATCTAATTGTGAAAAAAAGGTCTCACTCATCTAAAAAAAAAAAAAAAAAAATACCCGACTGCGAAAAGAATAATGATCTAAAAAAAAAAAAAAAAAAAAAAAAAAAAAAAAAAAAAAATCTGACAAAAAATACAAAAAAAAACCCTCTCAATATAACCCCCCCCCTCAAAAAAAAAAAATCTGACAAAAAAATACGAAAAAAAAAACAAACAAAAAATCACCCCTCCCCTCTCAAAAAAAAAAAAAAAAAAAAAAAAAAAAAAAAAAAACAGCCCCCTCTTCAGCTGATCTCCAGCACTCTTATCTCCTCCATCCCGACGAAAAAGAATCATCTTCCTTATCCCCAGATCCTGATAAGGTGCGAGATCACGTGATACCAACTGAGAAAGAGACGAAAATCCTTATAACTTGAGCACAGATGAGTCAGGGGTCGAGATGGTGGGTGGGCGTGGATGGTGGGTGGGCGTGGATAGTGGACGATGGTGGGTGGGCAGATGGTGGGCGGTAGGTGGGCGAGCGAGGATGGTGGATAGCATAAGAGCCGGAGGCGTGGATTAGGTGGAT